TATATATATATATATGATTGTTTGTAACCCTAGGCATGGTATTTTGTACTCTTTTTTTGAGTTAAAAGAAAATCGTCGCTCTGCTCTCGAGGACGTAAGCATCTTTGTTGAATCTCATTAAATCTTTCTGTGCTTTTTCTAGATTTTTGTTTCTTTGTCTTAAATTTCTCAACAAGCGGTATTAGAGCGAGGTTCAAGGCAAAAGAGAATTTCGGCGCAAGGACGAAGAAGATTTTGGCAAAGGAGTTCGGCTAGTTCGTCTAGGGCTTCGAACGACAACCAAGGAGCAAGGATTTCGACAGTCTCAGTGAATTCCACATAGAAGTTCCATTAGGGAAGGTCGGAGGCCAAGAGTGCAGCAGGCTTCACGCGCGACTAGGCTCTGCGAAGCAGATTCGTAGAGGAAGTTATGCGTCCAGTTGGAGTTCGTGCGACCAAGCGAATCGCAACAAAAGGGGGAAATCGCGAAGGTCTTAGGTGATGTTACTCAGAGGAAAATCATAAGAATCACAGAATTCACGAATTCAGCGAGAAGGATTCGCGACGCAAAGAGGTTCGCAACAGTTCAGACCGCCACGCAAAGCAATTCGGCAAGATTAAAGCACGACACGAGCAGACGTGCAGGTTTGGTTCGACGAATTCTGCAGTGGAGTTTGGCGCGGGCTTCTTCCGCGACAGGCAGAGTTCCGCGACAGGCTGCAGATCGTGCGACGGTTCTGCTGCGATGATCAGTTTTGTACAAAGAATTTGGGCGAGCAATTCACGAGGAATTAGCAAGAGAAATTCGCGGCACGAGATATTTTTAATGGCAATTTTTGGTGCAAAATTCGAAATGATGAAGTTTGATTGAACTGATAACTTCGGATTGTGACAAAACCAGTGTAAAGGTTTTGTTGGCAAAGCAAGGAATCTTGAAAGATTTGCGTGCAAAAAAACCAGATGTCATGGAGGATGAAGATTGTGAAGAATTGCAATAATGAGCGGCAGCAACCATACGCTTTTGTCTGACAGATAAGGTTATATATCACGTGACGAATCAAAAATCTTCATAGGAGGTATGGAAGAAATTGGAAACTCGGTTTATGACTAAATCTCTAACAAATAAATTGTATTTATAGCAAAAGTTGTATGGGCTGAAGATGCAAGAAGGTTCTGATCTGGCGCAGCATGTGAATGACTTCAATCAAATAATCATAAATTTATCATGGCTTGATGTGAGTATTGAGAACGAAGTCCGAGTAATGATTTTATTGTGTTTGTTACCTTCTTCTTATGAACATCTGGTGACTACTCTTACTTATAGGAAAGAAACTATCAAAGTTGATAAAATTACTGCAGCATTGTTGGCTCACAACCAGCGAAAGCAGAATGCAGGGGAAAGCTCTTATGGTGATAGTTTATATGTCAAGGGTAATCAGGATCGTGAAAGGGCGAAATATAATGAGGTCTCTAGAAGGCAAAATTTCAGATCAAAGTCTTAAAATAAAAAGACGATTTATTGTTACAAGTGCAAGGAAACGGGTTACATGAAGAGAGATTGTCCAAAGCTTAAAAAGCAAACTGAAGAGAAATGTGATGCATCATCAAAGTCTGTAAATGTGGTGCAGAGTGACAATTCCGATTGCAGTGATGGAGATATGCTTTCAGTTTCATCAACTCAGTTCATGGATGCATAGATTATTGATTCAAGATGCTTTTATCACATAACACCTAACAGGGAGTAATTTACTTCATACAGGTTAACTAATTCTGACTCAGTCTATTAAGGTGATGATAGATGCTGCAATATTGTTGATATTAGTGAAGTCAGAATCAAGATGTATAATGGCATTGTTAGAACATTATGTAATGGGCATGATGATAGAATGGGCATGCTGATATGTCGGGGATGATGAAACTACTTTATCTTGATCAAGCCTAGCCCCATCATCCCAACCATTCCCCAAGAATTAAGTTCAAACCTAAACGTTAAATTTGACCCAAAAGTCAACATAAGCAATGTCCTTAATCAAAAGTGAAGTTAGATTCACACATTAACTGACCTCAACTTAAGTCTAGAAACATATTTGTAATTTTCAAAGACTTCTCACATCCTACAGAAGCTTTATATAGTGGTTTATTCAATCACAGCTTCTTTAAAAAGCACACACACCAAGATTAAAATGACTGGAGCAATAGCAGTAATAATTTTTTAAATGGACATTTTTAGCTGTGAAACTTCATCTTTAAAATAAAGAAGCAGCTGAGCGGTCAACAAAAAACTCTAAAAATAGCTCAAACCATCTAAAAATTACTGAAGCAAATAGAAAATGTCAAAAAATACAGAAGATTCAAGCAACAATAGTAGACGCCGAGTAATTGTCAAATCCTTGAGAAATAGCCAGTCATAAAGCTAAAAACTCATATTTCATATGAGAAACATACATGTAACAAACAAAATTCATTACTGTTCTGTAAAGACTTGAAATTGTTTAAGCCAAAGCCATCAATATAGTAAATTCACAAACTCACCAGGTAAATCTTTTTCCAGAACCTTCCATTCATGTTGAATCCTCTTAACCCAATTCTTTCCTGGCTGCTATAAATAACAGCTCAAAAAAAATAGAACGAATTTGAAGAATAAAAATGTTAAACTTCTGTGAAGCCCAAATATACCTCCTTTATTGCAGGAGTCATTTTAAGGATCTCGGGTTTGTTGAAGTGATGATCTGAACTATCCCGAACAGTATCAAATTGCTTGAAAGCTTGGCATTTGACATCAGTGTCATCGTCAATAATTAGTATTGGCTTCTGTTAATGCCGTTACCAGCCTTATTAGAGGAGAGAATGAGTATGACAAGAGAGCTACTTGCAGGAAATGAAAAAAAAAAAAAAACTCAACACAAAAAGATGCATAATTATGACAATTCATAGCATTCCGTAACTATCAAGTATTGTAATTATAAAAGAGCTTTTCATCTTTAGCTTATATTGGTTGGGTAAAACCAAGCCATTAGATTAGGCGCCTTGTTCATATTCCCCCAAATTTAAGCTTACCCGGAGCTCTCTTTCCGCTAATTTGGAAAAGCCATGACACAAATGTTTATAACTTAGTGCTAATTCTTGTGTTCTAAAGCATAGTAGAATATGCTGATATCCTAGTAGACTTATTAAGTAATTCAATTTTATGGTTGACAATCTTCTTACTTTCCTAAACTCCTTATAAAAAGAGCTAACGAATATAAAGCAGAACACCCATTTAAAATTTAAGCCCTCTCTCGCTGCCCTCATATTAGGTGCACTCCATGGGTGAAACGTTCATCTAACATCCTCCGAATGATGGATCAAGAGACTCTTGTCAAAGTTCCATTCAAAATTTCAGGGCTTCTTCTCTCCTCATGTCAAAGAAAACGCAATGATATTGTTCTCTCTCAGCCTACATGTCCAAACTCTTAAATACATTATAGAGACCACAATTAACACTGCTACAATTATTCTAGTTCCCAAAAAAGAAAAACAATGATAACAGAACTAATCACAGAAAAGGCATTTCCTCAAAATGTTGCAGACATTCTCCCTGTAAATATTATTGTGTTCATATTTGAAGACAATGCAGCTGGGCATGCAAACGAAACACCACGGACGGTCATAAATGTTATAAGATTGGAAATCAAATAAGTCCCAAATTTCATTTTGTAATTTGTGACAGTGTTCAAGCCTTTAATTCAAAAATTTCCCACAGAGCAGCCGTTTAGTGTATCTTGGTTAGAGACATTTAAACCAAAGTCCAAAAAGTACAACTCTATGAAAGTTGCGTTGAGCATTCTATTCAATTCGAAGAAGAGATTAAGAGACGAGACATTTACTATGGGATATTTTTCAATAACTTTAATTTTATGAAATATAGCCTCAAGAAGCTCAATGATTCCATTACCATCTTAGCATAAGCTTGAGAAAGAAAAAGAATGCAACTTAACTATTGGAGAGAGAATGGGTTCAATACAAGATTTTCATCCTATAGCAGATACTTTGATATTGGAGTTAACCCAAACAATGGCAAAACAATAATATTATTGTGGATATTCAAATAACCAATTACAATCAATCAACTAAAATAGGAAATAACCAAACATAAAACATAAATCCCAACTAGGGCAGAGGTTTAAGGTGGTGATGTTGCGGTTGAGGAGAGGGACTACATGGCATGGTAGGGGGTGGATGGTAGAGGGGGCAGATGGTAGAGGGGGCTCAAAAGGAGTAGGCTGACTGGCAGATGGTTGGTAGCAGGTAAGTATAGAGGATGGTTGAGAAAGAGGTGGTCGCAGGGGGAGTAGGGGTTGGAGGCCGGTCGACGACTGGACATCGACTTGGCAGCTATGACAGGGTTGGTAGCAGGTAAGTATGGAGGATGGTTGAGAAAGAGGTGGTCGCAGGGGGAGGAGGGGTTGGAGGTCGGTCGACGACTGGACATCGACTTGGCAGCTATGACGGAGGCAATGGAGAGGCGGCAACAAGCTAGCGGCTATGAGGGAGGTAGGGAAACTGCGGCAACTAGCTGGCGGCTATGGAGAAGGAGAGGAAGGGGGTAGCAACAAGCTCACAGCTAGATGGTGGAGGCACAAAGCTAGGTGGAGGTTGGATGAAGGAATCATGGAGCAAGTTGGGGATAGATAGACACCACCTTAAGACCAGTTACAGTCGAAATACCTCTCCTTCGAATACAGTTCTAGAATGAGAAAACTGGATGTCGACAACCATCCTAACAGAAAATGAAATCAAATATGTCCAAACACACAATCAAACAGCATAAATAGACCAAGGGTAAAGAGGAGTGGGCCCCAGTTCAAATAGAAGGAAATCCCATGTTTGGAAGGACCGGTCGGTCCCTCCCTTGTCTAGACCGAACTGTTCTAGGGCTGACGCATGCTCCTGTCGCGTCTAATGTGAACGACGCACTGTGTCATACTTGAAAGAGTTGCATAATGGTATACATATCATCATAGGTATGTTATAGATCTAAGTCAAATGCCCTTAAGCATGTTGTAGGCATCTATATGCAGATAATGAGGTATATAATTAGCTCATTAACTTTTGCAGCCATATTGAAATGAGAGCCTTTAATAACCCAAGATTCCATTTACTTGCTCTTAAAATATTCATGAAATTAAGTCTCACGACTAATCCTGAAATTAGGTCATTTCATTCTTGCTCTCCACCTCAATAAATTGATATTATTCAAATAAAGACCATTGTGAACATTATAATCGCCTACGATAACCTATACTCCCTCAAACTACAAAATATCATGTATTTCCTCTTATTCATTAATTGAAATGACATTTTAGATAAAATTTTACTTCCAATTCATAACTTCTTGCTACAACATAGATTATTTCACTATTCTATCATGACAACATGATTACCCAAGTTTTGATTTCTAACAATGCTCCCAATGCTAGGAAATTAAAGAGGCTTCCACCAAAAGCTGTTCAGTTTTGTGATGCTCAAAGATTTCATATTTTAAAGCTACTCAATGGACATTCCTCGGATAGATATTTTTGCTTGGTCTCCTACCTCTTAATTTTTCATCTTCATTTTAAATGCAGGAGAATTTAAAAAAAAAAATGCAATACTAACCTTGATTTTAGCTCACTTATTTAGCAGGTACAGTTGGCACACATTGGGGTCGCTTTACATGTCCTTAGTCAAGCTAATTTTGACTTGAGATATCCCCCATTTTGCCCCAAGAATTGGTTTGATTAAAACCATGATCAAATTAATTTGGACCCATTATTTTCAGCCAACAACTGGCCATCCTAAGGCTCTAGGTTGGCCCCATTTGATTAGCCTCTCTTCACTCGAACCAACTTCCTTCCCGGGTAGCTTCTTCAAAGAGCCAAGTTCAACAAAAAATTACCTTCTTGATGTCTTTTGAAACCTTTCCAATGACTCCGCAAATTAGAAGATGTCGTCTTATTGCCAAATTTCCAACAATTTTATTGGTTTGGCATCATGTTCCCATATCTCCATCTATTTGGCCATTATGATAGCTTGACAAACCAAAGTTGTCAACTTAATGCCCTTCTTTTCGTCATCAAGAAACGCATTCTCAACCTATTTCAGAAGTCACTGAAATTATGTCTTGTCTCCCTTATCACTGAAATTATCATCTGATGATCCGATTAGAAGAATAGATGCTTTAGATTTGACTTATGTAAAGAAAGTTAGAGGTGGATCATAATAGTCTTGGGCACGTTGTATCTAAAATGATCTTAATTTATTAAAATTAAATGAAAATATGACACTCAATGGGACACAATGGACAAAAAGGATTCATATAGCCGACCCCGCTTAGTGGGATAAAGGCTTGTTATTGTTGATGTTGTTGTTGTCGACATCCCTTGTCATAGTCAATATCCAACACTTCATCTCACTATGCTCTATCGAGGACTTCATCTTCTCGATGCTTGAACACAACTTCCTCCTTGGTAGCCTACCAATGAATTTGCCCTGGCAACCTGTTGACAACTTCATCTCGGACTGCATTCATTCAACGCTTCACTAAGTCCCACCTCCTCCATATTGGTGGAGTTGCTTGTCAATGCTGACACCAAGTTAGCCTCCTTGGTACTTCACTAAATTCATTCTCAGCTTTGCCAAAATCACTCTTGACAGGTGTCAAATGGAGTTCTCAACACAATGTCGAACATGTGAAAAAAAGAAAAACCAAAAGAAAAAAAATGATCAATAAATAAAAGATTGGCTCAACTAAAGACTACACTCATAGAGCAAAAACCCATAGAAAAAAGGAAAAGGAAGGCGCTACGGTTGTCGAAAGACCAACTAGGCCGGAGCAACTTAGGGTTCATTCGGGGCGGCGGTGCAGCACCACACCACAGTTTTGTTTGTTTGGGTAAACTGCGTTTTGACAGCTTTTTCAAAGATCTTCCGCTAAAATCTGCATTTTTTCACCGGTTCTGGCTATGTGCAGTGGCAGCTTTCTATTTGTTGTCTAAGGGTCTGTTTGGGGCAGCTGCAGCTTATCCAGCTTCTGCCGATAAGCAGCTGATCCTGAATAATCTGCTGATGGGCAGCTGATTCGAATAAGTTGGCTGACTGTTTGGTTTGTGCGTTTGGAAAACAATTTATTCTGGATAAATGACCACTCTGCCCCTGTACTAGATAAGTTGTTTGGTTTTTGCGTTTTGTAAACAGCAGATTTGCAGTTTTTTTTTTTTGATAAAATGTCATTCAGACATTATTAATTTTAATTTTCCAAAAATTATTTTTAAATTATGTGTAACATAAATTGTAATCAATAATCTATATTTTATACTAATTTTAAAATCTATAACTTCAATAACCAAGTTTAGAAACATTTAAAGCTATCCACAAAGATATATGAATTTGAACAGAAGTTTTCAAAATTCTATTCAAATATTTCGTCAGCTACTCTCAACTACATGCTCGCAACATAAATCAACTGAAGCCGTTTAGAATAAAACATCCAATATTACAGCCAAATCGACTTATTTTTATTATTCAATTATAATATGAAGTCGTTTGGATTAAAACATCCAATATTACAGCAAATCGACTTATAATTATTATTATTTAATTTTTTAAAAGTAAGAAGTTATGAAGATTAACTTAGCAAAACATAATTAAAATAATATCTATATTTTGTTTTAGTTTTGACAAGGAATAAAAATTTAGGATCTTTAAATAAAATTTTCAGCGAAGGAGAGCAACGTGTCACGGACAAATAGTCCCACATCGGCTAGATGTAGAGCCGAAAAGCAGTATTTAAGTCCTGGGCTGCCCACCAGGAAGGAGGAGAAGGACGAACGTTACCTTCCTCGCTGGTTTTCGGGTAGGATCGGACGAAGGTTACCTTCCTTGCTGGACAGAAGAAGGAGAGGGACGAAGGTTACCTTCCTCGCCTGGAGGAGAGCGACAGAGGATGTGTCGGAGGGGGGAGACTGGCTTTAGGCGACGGAGAGCAACGAACGGCTTCGAATGGCTTTCAACGTAGCGAAGGAGAGCAACGGCTTCGAATGGCTTTCACCGCAGCGAAGGAGAGCGAAGGTTCGGGGCGAAGGCTAGGTTTTGTCGTGCCAACGAAAGAAACCGCGAATCGCGGGTATAACTGAATGAAAACGCGTAATAGAAAAAAGTAAACGCAGTTTTCAAATAATTTGTCCAGACGTGCGAAACAAACAGATAGGCGGCGTTTTCAAAACGCCGCCGCACTTTTAAGCTGCCCCAAACGGGCCCTAGGTGGCCCATATGTAATAGCCACCACAACTTTTTGAAAATCAGATTATTTTTCAGCAGTTTCATAGCTACTTTTTAATAAACTACAGCTGCCCCAAACAGAGCCTTAATAGAGATACAAAGCCAAAACAAAGGCAAGTTGAAAAATAGGTAGAATGGTAGAGGAGGCAGTAGAGCCCCTTATCATTGTTCAAGCAAAAGAAACGAGAGAAAAAACATCATGTAACAAAATATTGCTTTAGAGATGTTGGACCGAGACAGCCCAAAAAAAAAAAAGAAGAAAGAACCACCAGAACTTGCCACTGAAGTAAAGAAGCTGCCAAGAAGAAAACCATCTAGAAAACTCACATTGAACTCTACATTTAATGGTAGAAATAATTGTGAAAAAAATATAAAATTCTCCACTCAAATCTCGTCATTTCATTCTTTACAAATGAAATAAACAAAGCCACAAATAGTGATTAGATGACAATATTTAGATTTGTTGGTCTTCAGGATGTGTCATTTATAAAAGAGAGGGCATAATGAAGAGTAAGTCGTAAAAAAAAATATAGTAACCGGCAAGCAAGTAGTAAAGATGTTACAACTGAAAACACATTAAAAAGAGAGATGCCTAGCATATTTGGCCTCAAGATGATAGAATCACAAGTAGGATTAATATATATCTCCCAAAATCTGAGAATATCGGCAGTTTTAAGGCCTCCCACGAAGCATAACCAAATAGAGACAAAACTTGGCATAATTCCTGTGACAAATGAGATGATGTCGTTCCATAATAAAAATTGAGCTATAGAATCCAGGTAAGATTTCTTTGTAGGAAGTAGAATTGCCTTTCCATAAGATTAAATCGTTGTCAAATGTATAGAGAGAGATTCCAAGAATATACTTGAAAATATTAGCATCCTTAAGGGGAGCAAGGTCTAACAAATGGTTATTAATAATTATTTTTATGGACGAGATGGTTGATGCATGGAAGATGAGATTATGTGCTCAAACATATTGACCAGTGACTTCCCATTAAGCCAAGGGTCCTAAAAAAGGTTAATGAGCAACCATTAGAAAAGTTGTAGGACATAAATGTTTTATTAAATAACAAACTTTGTATAACTAATTCCAAAAAGGGGAAGCATTGGTTCAAATCATTGCCCCCATGCGATTTTGACATTCGCCTTGAAACCCACCTGCAATCAAATCATGCTATAACAATGCCAGCAACTAGCATGTTTTAGTGAAAAGCACCTGCCACCTTTTATCAACGAGAGTGAGACTATGATGTTTTTCCTCCCTTATTCCACTGTAAGACACCCAATTGCCCAAAAGGAAAAGATTATTACTAGTCACTTTGGGATATTATAGATGTCATACTTCATACAACTCGAGGCTACTTCCTATCGCTAACTTATGCCATTCTAAAAATTTAGGGTTTAGGGTTTAGGCACTTGAGGCAACCTCTTAAGGTTTCGAGGTTCCCAAGTGCAAACTTCAAGCTCTAGGGACTTTTTTATTTTATTTGTATGTTTGCACACTTCATAAAGCATCAATCTGTACCTTTTCATGTATTTACACAAACTTTTACAATGAATTTCATGCAAAATATATTTTAATGTTCTCATATTTTTATGCACTTTTTTTTCTTTTTTTTTTCATAACTAGCATTCTTGCTTTTCTCATCGTCTTTTTGTCATGATATTTTTTATTAGTAAAAATGTTTAGATAAATTTCGATAAAGCTTTTGCTTCATTCCTATGAAAGAAGAACCCAAACATGACAAAAAGACGAGCATGCACAAGACATTATGACCAAAAACAAGAAAGATAGATATTAGTGATGTTCAAATTACCTAAACCATGGTAGAATGTTTTTACAGCTCGTATTATTTGCAAGCAATAGCTCAAAACCTCCTCCAATTGTACTTGTAATTGTAAGGTGTTTACATGCAAGGTAGAGGAATGAAGGCTAAGGCATACAAGAGAGCAAGTAGTTGTGGTGAAAGAATAATTGGTTGAAGGACAAATGAGAGAGGAAGTGATAGAAAATGCAAGGGGGGAAGAAATATGCCATGATGAGTGGGAAGATAAAATGCATAAAGGGAGAAAGGGTTCTTTTAGTTTATTGTAATTAGCAATGATTTTTTTTATCTTTGGCTTATATAAATCGTAATAAACCAAGTCCTAAGGTCACATATGCTATTTCATGATCTCTCAATGTAGGATTAACCAAGAATGCCTTCTTTTATTTTTCTAAGTTGAGAAAGCCAGACAATGAATATCTATAAGTGGATGACAATTCTTGTTTTTTAAAGTATAATGAAACTATCAATTTTCCCTTAGAATTATTAAGTTATTTATATATTTAAGTTTTACAGCTTCATTGTTGGCATTCCAAGCTCATCATCCAACAACCTATAAATGGTTGCTTCCATTTGAGGTGGTTGGTCCATAAAATTAAATAGATCACCACAAATGACGTGTTAATCATTCCAAAAAATTCAATGTCATAGTCATATTCTTATACTAATCATCATCATAATAATTATAGTACATTCAAATGCACCAAAACCATAATCATCGTCATCATCATATTCATACCAAAATTAGTCTTCAAAAAAGTCATAATATAATGGGTCTAAAACGGATCCCTTGCTTGTATCAAGCATGTAAAGTTTTGTACTTGAACTCCAAAATGAAATAAAAAAGAAGCCCTACATAAAAAGTATAAATGACTGTAAAATATAAAATAACAAATAATAAATAAATATTAAGCATGAACTTAAAGCCATTTTCAATTCACGAAAGGTGTGGGCATTTATCATACCTTGATTACATTTTTACTAACATTCATAGTCTTCACAGTTTGCCTTTTTATTCTGCTAGAAAGAAATTCTCCAATTACTAAAACTTCATCTTGATCATCGTCGTCATCTATTTCAATAACATCATGAGGAACAATCTACAATGAAACAAGTTGAGAGTAGGTAACCTTATAGAAAATAAAAAGAAATTACAACCAAAACAAACCAAGTAAATAAGCGTAAGAATAAGAAATATCCAGATAAAAAGGGCAAACAAAGAGAGGGTGTCACTCACAGCACCTAGGATTCAAAACCCAGTTCAGGTCCAAACAAAAAATATACCTAGTAAAGCAAATGATTTAATAATATATTTACACAAATTAAATAAAAAATAAAGTGAACAAGGATAGGAGATTTGTTCAACACTGTGAATTAACTAATACTAAGAGTGTACAAGTGATTTAACCACAAAGTTTTTAAAACCCCCGCCGCACTTATAAGCTGCCCCAAACGGGCCCTAACTTTTCAGAAAAAAAAATGTAATAGCCACCACGACTTTTTGAAAATCAGATTATTTTTTAGCAGTTTCATAGCTACTTTTTAATAAACTACAGTTGCCCCAAACAGAGCCTTAATAGAGATACAAAGCCAAAACAAAGGCAAGTTGAAAAATAGGTAGAATGGTAGAGGAGGCAGTAGAGCCCCTTATCATTGTTCAAGCAAAAGAAACGAGAGAAAAAACATCATGTAACAAAATATTGCTTTAGAGATGTTGGACCGAGACAGCCCAAAAAAAAAAAAGAAGAAAGAACCACCAGAACTTGCCACTGAAGTAAAGAAGCTGCCAAGAAGAAAACCATCTAGAAAACTCACATTGAACTCTACATTTAATGGTAGAAATAATTGTGAAAAAAATATAAAATTCTCCACTCAAATCTAGTCATTTCATTCTTTACAAATGAAATAAACAAAGCCACAAATAGTGATTAGATGACAATATTTAGATTTGTTGGTCTTCAGGATGTGTCATTTATAAAAGAGAGGGCATAATGAAGAGTAAGTCGTAAAAAAAAATATAGTAACCGGCAAGCAAGTAGTAAAGATGTTACAACTGAAAACACATTAAAAAGGGAGATGCCTAGCATATTTGGCCTCTAGATGATAGAATCACAAGTAGGAATAATATATATCTCCCAAAATCTAGAATATCGGCAGTTTTATGGCCTCCCACGAAGCATAACCAAATAGAGACAAAACTTGGCATAATTCCTGTGACAAATGAGATGATGTCGTTCCATAATAAAAATTGAGCTATAGAATCCAGGTAAGATTTCTTTGTAGGAAGTAGAATTGCCTTTCCATAAGATTAAATCGTTGTCAAATGTATAGAGAGAGATTCCAAGAATATACTTGAAAATATTAGCATCCTTAAGGGGAGCAAGGTCTAACAAATGGTTATTAATAATTATTTTTATGGACGAGATGGTTGATGCATGGAAGATGAGATTATGTGCTCAAACATATTGACCAGTGACTTCCCATTAAGCCAAGGGTCCTAAAAAAGGTTAATGAGCAACCATTAGAAAAGTTGTAGGACATAAATGTTTTATTAAATAACAAACTTTGTATAACTAATTCCAAAAAGGGGAAGCATTGGTTCAAATCATTGCCCCCATGCGATTTTGACATTCGCCTTGAAACCCACCTGCAATCAAATCATGCTATAACAATGCCAGCAACTAGCATGTTTTAGTGAAAAGCACCTGCCACCTTTTATCAACGAGAGTGAGACTATGATGTTTTTCCTCCCTTATTCCACTGTAAGACACCCAATTGCCCAAAAGGAAAAGATTATTACTAGTCACTTTGGGATATTATAGATGTCATACTTCATACAACTCGAGGCTACTTCCTATCGCTAACTTATGCCATTCTAAAAATTTAGGGTTTAGGGTTTAGGCACTTGAGGCAACCTCTTAAGGTTTCGAGGTTCCCAAGTGCAAACTTCAAGCTCTAGGGACTTTTTTATTTTATTTGTATGTTTGCACACATCATAAAGCATCAATCTGTATCTTTTCATGTATTTACACAAACTTTTACAATGAATTTCATGCAAAACATATTTTAATGTTCTCATATTTTTATGCACTTTTTTTTCTTTTTTTTTTCATAACTAGCATTCTTGCTTTTCTCATCGTCTTTTTGTCATGATATTTTTTATTAGTAAAAATGTTTAGATAAATTTCGATAAAGCTTTTGCTTCATTCCTATGAAAGAAGAACCCAAACATGACAAAAAGACGAGCATGCACAAGACATTATGACCAAAAACAAGAAAGATAGATATTAGTGATGTTCAAATTACCTAAACCATGGTAGAATGTTTTTACAGCTCGTATTATTTGCAAGCAATAGCTCAAAACCTCCTCCAATTGTACTTGTAATTGTAAGGTGTTTACATGCAAGGTAGAGGAATGAAGGCTAAGGCATACAAGAGAGCAAGTAGTTGTGGTGAAAGAATAATTGGTTGAAGGACAAATGAGAGAGGAAGTGATAGAAAATGCAAGGGGGGAAGAAATATGCCATGATGAGTGGGAAGATAAAATGCATAAAGGGAGAAAGGGTTCTTTTAGTTTATTGTAATTAGCAATGATTTTTTTTATCTTTGGCTTATATAAATCGTAATAAACCAAGTCCTAAGGTCACATATGCTATTTCATGATCTCTCAATGTAGGATTAACCAAGAATGCCTTCTTTTATTTTTCTAAGTTGAGAAAGCCAGACAATGAATATCTATAAGTGGATGACAATTCTTGTTTTTTAAAGTATAATGAAACTATCAATTTTCCCTTAGAATTATTAAGTTATTTATATATTTAAGTTTTACAGCTTCATTGTTGGCATTCCAAGCTCATCATCCAACAACCTATAAATGGTTGCTTCCATTTGAGGTGGTTGGTCCATAAAATTAAATAGATCACCACAAATGACGTGTTAATCATTCCAAAAAATTCAATGTCATAGTCATATTCTTATACTAATCATCATCATAATAATTATAGTACATTCAAATGCACCAAAACCATAATCATCGTCATCATCATATTCATACCAAAATTAGTCTTCAAAAAAGTCATAATATAATGGGTCTAAAACGGATCCCTTGCTTGTATCAAGCATGTAAAGTTTTGTACTTGAACTCCAAAATGAAATAAAAAAGAAGCCCTACATAAAAAGTATAAATGACTGTAAAATATAAAATAACAAATAATAAATAAATATTAAGCATGAACTTAAAGCCATTTTCAATTCACGAAAGGTGTGGGCATTTATCATACCTTGATTACATTTTTACTAACATTCATAGTCTTCACAGTTTGCCTTTTTATTCTGCTAGAAAGAAATTCTCCAATTACTAAAACTTCATCTTGATCATCGTCGTCATCTATTTCAATAACATCATGAGGAACAATCTGCAATGAAACAAGTTGAGAGTAGGTAACCTTATAGAAAATAAAAAGAAATTACAACCAAAACAAACCAAGTAAATAAGCGTAAGAATAAGAAATATCCAGATAAAAAGGGCAAACAAAGAGAGGGTGTCACTCACAGCACCTAGGATTCAAAACCCAGTTCAGGTCCAAACAAAAAATATACCTAGTAAAGCAAATGATTTAATAATATATTTACACAAATTAAATAAAAAATAAAGTGAACAAGGATAGGAGATTTGTTCAACACTGTGAATTAACTAATACTAAGAGTGTACAAGTGATTTAACCACAAACACTTGTAGCCAATTAATCTAACCCTACAAGTGACACTACAAACAATAATGTAGATAATGATTAAGTATATAAGTGATTGTTTACTTTAAAGCTCAACATAGGCAAAATACTTAATCAAAAGCAGAACTTATTACAAGTAAGCCACTAAAAAGCAAAGTAATATTTTTTTCTGAACTAAATACAGATTATGGTAATGCAAACATATTACTAGAAGTGAGAGCATGTTGTTTAAGCGCAAGTAAATAAGTTTACGTTATACGAATGCATAATATCAAGTGTAACTTGAATCTCCAAATTAATTTTCTAGCAAAATTAACTAAGAAAGTATATAAACAACAAGATGCAAAAAATAAACTAGGTTTGTTACATGCTAGAAAATTTCATGGCAACCAATGTTGAATTTTACATATTAGCTTTGCATGAAGATCTTACATACACGTAGAAATAAAAAGAGAAACGTATGACATATATATCAATTTTTTTAGGTGGAAAATTTATACAAAAACAAGAAGCCTTTATCCAGCAAAGTTGGGCCAGCTATATGAATCTTTTTCACCATTGTCATATTGAGTGTCATATTTTCATTTAATTTTAATAAATTAAGATCATTTTTATACAACATGCCCAAATCTTTTTAGGCCTACATCTATCTTTCTTAACATAAGTCGAATCCAAATCATTTACTTTCCTAACTGGATCATCAAATGGCCGACGTTTAATCTCACCAAACCATCTAAGATGACTCTCTCTAATCATGTCTACCACTGAAGCTACACTAAGTCTTTCACGAATATATTTTGTTTTGCACTGCCTCTGTTAAAACTACTCATCCACCTAATCATTCTCATCTCTGCAAAACTTAACTTAGTTTTACGTTTTTTTTTTTTTTAGATGCCAACATTCTGCAGAATAAAACCAACAGGGCTCACCACC